TTATGCACAACTTGATCAAGGGGGATGTAGACAGCCCTGACTTGCTGAGCCGCATAAACTTTACGATTCCCATTAGACCCACTAGAAACTTTATTCCTTTGTTCCTTCCACTATGTAGATCGAATTATGCCTCACACGAACCCTTTAGGGTTTTATGCTCGGATTATAATTCCCTCTACCACATTATATCCTCAACTAACTCCCTTCCTCTTCTTAAATCTCTTATACTAGCCTACCTCTCCCGTAATTAGTTTCATTTTAGTTTTGTCTTGTTTGTTATTTTGGTAATTTTTGCTTGCTTAGCTATAGTAGCTCTAGTCTAGTTATGTTTAGCTCTAATTTTCCTCGAATATTAGCCTAACATCTATCTTTCCTGCATGCTCGCGACCGGTTCGGTTAATCGCGCCACGCGTCATGCGGTAGCGCCCCTCGGTCGGTTGGGCGGGAGGAGGGCTGCGTTCTGCTGGGTTCCGCGCGTAACAGGCTTTGGCTTGGTGTCGCATGGGCCACTTGATGGTGCAGTCATTGCATATCAACGTCCAGAAGAAAAAGGTAAAGTTTCCGACCCCATAAAGCCGAGTTAAAGAGCGTTTTGGTATGAGAAGTGATGTAGATGTGCTCGTGCTAAACAAAGAGTCGCTGGCCCCGATAGAGGCAGCCAAAAATGAGCTCAACTTTGGGTTCAGCTCTGTCACCGTAAAGGTGTACAAGTCGGATGCAGCTTCCGGGGTGCGTCCTGTCGACAACCCAGTCGAGCAGGATGTTGCCTCGGAGATCGAGGCACCCGACATCGAGCTTGAGTTGGCCCAAGAAAGTGAGTAGAGTCGGAGCTGATGCTGGAGTTCGAGGCAATATGTCGGACAATACAGTGGTGGAGATAGGAAAGGATCCCTCTGAGGCTCCTTCAGATAAATATCCACCACTGTAAAGCAGCAACTGCTGCCCTCCTACTCCGTTTGGAATCGAGCGGAGGCGACGTAGCCCTAATCCTTGAGTGGTTGGAGACAAGTTCTGTGGATTAGCGACGAAGGACTACAAGCTGGTTGTAGCACCTAAGGAAGGTAAAATTCGCACCTGCATTTTAGCTAGAAAGCACGTAAAATTCTTTCTGCTCTAAAATTTTAGCGATGGCGACAACACAGCAGCTAGCCTAGAGCTGCAAGGGACACACCTCAGAGTGGTGTCGTTCTATATGGCTCACGACCATACCTAATGGGGAAGCTCGGACATAAATGTAAGGGGTGAGTCTCTTTTCAGCTTCATCCTAAACTCGAATCTGGTTCTCTGTAATCAGGGAAATGACCCCACCTTCATTATAAAGAACAAACAGGAGGTCATAGACCTCACCCTAGTGTCCCATAGCATACTAGGCCTTATCAAGGGCTGGAGAGTCCTAGAAGAGCACTCCTTCTCCGACCATAGGTACATAGAGACGATAATATCTCTCGAATGCCCAATAGCTGATAGTTATATAAGCCCCAGGAAAGCCAACTGGGAGGCATATTCTAAAAACCTGGAAGAATTTTTTCCCCCAACAGCATCAACATGCCCTGATACACAAGACGACCTTAACAGTCTTGTAACTAGATTCACGGAGGCATGTAATAAAGCCTTTAAGGCATCAGACCGAGAGGGAAAAAGAAACCCCCTGGTGGTCGAAGACAATTGAAGTCCTACGTAAAAGCTGCAGAGCTAATTTTAATTAAGCCAAAAACAGCAACGAGGACGATCTATGCGAAGACTCCAAGACCATCCTTGCTCTTTACAAAAAAGAAACTAGGAGAGCGAAAGGAGCCTCCTGGCAAAAATTCTGCACCGAAATCGAAGAAACGGCAGAAGCCGCAAGGCCGCGCAAGATCCTCTCGAAAACGAATACCTCTGTGGGATACATCAAGAGTACAGATGGTGCATGGACCAACACCAGCAAGGAGTCCCTACACATCTTACTCGATACCCACTTTCCAGGGTGCACAACCACCGAACCACCGGAACGCCCAGGTGAAGGCTCAGCCACATCGATGGCGCACCTACTCACAAGACGGAACATTTTCTGGGCGGTGAAGAGCTTCAAACCGTTCAAATCGCCAGGTCCAGACAAGGTGATCCCAGCTCAACTTCAGAGAGCTGGGGACCAACCTATCCGCTGGCTACAATGTATCTTCAAAAAGATACTAAAGGTAGGAAAGATTCCTAAAGCATGGCTCAAGGCAGAAATTGTCTTCATCCCAAAAGCGGGAAAAACCTCCTACACGACGGCAAAGTACTTCAGACCGATTGTTCTGACCTCCTTTCTCCTAAAAACATTTAAAAGAATAGTCGGTCTACATCTGAGGACAATCATCAACCCTCAGATGCTGTCAGACTCACAACACGAATACCGGAAAGGTAAATCCACGGAAACGGCCCTACATGAAGTGATTTCAGGTATAGAGAAAGCTCTACACCTTAAGGAATACTCCCTGGCGGCCTTCCTCGATATTGAGGGAGCCTTCAACAACATGCTCACATGCAGGACGGTGACATCATCAATAGGTTCGTCCACTCAGGCAAGGTATGTAAACAGAGGCACTTCGCAAGGAGGTGTCCAGTCTCCCCTCCGATGGAACATTGCAGTCAATAAGATTCTATGTGACTTGGAGGGGTGTGGTTGCAAAGTAGTGTCATATGCAGATGACGTTGTCCTAATGTTCACGGGAAAATTCCCCCAAACACTCTGTGATCCTATGACCACAGGTAAATTGGCAAGGGCAGCAATACACCTATGATTAGGTGTAAATGCCTCGAAAACGGAACTTGTGCTATTCACTAACAAGTACAAAACTCAGCCACTCAACCCCCCAACACTAATCAAATGTAGGTTAACCTTTAGCGACAGTGCCAGTTACCTTGGGTTGGTAATAGACAGGAAGTTAAATTGGAACCTAAACACGAAAGAAAGAGTGAAGAAGGCCACTATGGCCCTATACACCTGCAAAAAAGCCATCGGACTAAAATGGGACACGAACCCACGTATAGTCCAATGGATATATCAAGCTGTTGCCAAACCAATACTGCTCCACGGAGTCACAGTATGGTGGCCGGCTCTGTCAAAAAAGACAATCACTCTTTACATCAGTGGCGTAGGGCATAGACCTTGCTGGGAAGGAACAGGCAGCAAGGGCAGCAATACGTCTGCGAGATTCGGACCTATGGACGTCACGACCATATGGTCACTCAGCGATGTTTAGGGACACTAATATAATACCTCATAGGACTGATTATTGCGTTCTTAGAGACTACACAGCCACCCCCTTCGAGGCTATAATCCTCCCCAGAGAGGAATGGCTCGAGGGCACACCTGGCCCAACGGGGGCCATAAACATCTTTACTGATGGATCCAAGCTAGACAACAAAGTTGGCGGAGGAATCTACTCCAGGCAACTAAATATGAGGCATTCCTTTCGCCTTCCAGACCACTGCAGTGTCTTCCAAGCGAAAGTCATTGGTATAAATAAAGCGCTAAGATGCCTTCAAGAGATCTCAGTCGCGGCTATTCACGTCAACATCTATAGTGACAGCCAGGCGGTACTAAAATCGCTAAACGCGATTTCGTCGAATTCGACCACAGTGGCAAATTGTCGCAAATCTCTACACGAGATGGCAAGGCAATATGTTATCAGCCTAATATGGGTCCCGGGACACCAGGACATTGAAGGCAACTGCATAGCAGACGAGTTTGCCAGATCTGGCACTACACTCCCCCTTAATCAAGGTAAGGAGGAAATACGGATGCCAATGGCCACTTGCAAGCTCAAAATAAAGGAGTACTATACCCTGCAAACAACCAACAGATGGCAAATGGTCACGGGCTGTCGCATCACCCGACAAACGTGGCCAGACATCTCGAAAAAACGCACCGCTGAACTATGCAAACTAAGCAGACATAGGTGCAGCGTAGTCATTCGCTCTCTTACAGGGCACTGGCTAATAGGCAACAATGCGAATAGGCTGGGTGCCCCCTACAACCGGCCTAGGTGTGTCGGGATTGTGAAGTCCCGACGACCGCCTCAACCTAACCACCTACCTAATGCAACACAAGGATCGGGAAGATGCATCCATTCATGATAGCACTTCAATCAGTTCAAAGTATAATCAATTTATCAATTAATCAATTATTAATTAAAACAATCATAAATTACTCTAATTTTTTTTTAAATATGAATTAAAAATAACTCTTGCTTTTTATTTCCATTAACAAAAGTTTAAATAATTGTTACTCGTATTTTTTATATAAAAAAAGTTTAATTTCATTCTCGGACTGCAATTTTTATATTAAAACTTATAACAGCTAGGTTTTTTTGTTTCTTGTATATATACATTAATAGATTTGCTGATGTTTTAAGCTTGTGTTTATTTAACTGAATCTTTAATAAACTCTTAATATATGTATTTATTAAATTTATTTCTAAAGCCGAGTATCCAGAAACTCGGAAAAAGACCCTTTCCATCAAATCGCTTATAAAAGGAGGAAGAACGTTGTGAGGCTCGAATTTTACATTGGACATCTTTTGGTACATCTTCTGCTCCATGTACACACTACTCACACCAACACGCACTTTTAGCTATCCAAAATGTGTAGATATTGAGCCGGCAGCAGAATTTCTGGAGTGGGTGGGAGTAGCCACTGCAAATGAGTTTCCTCTTTCTCATTAGGACGGAAGGACAGGCAGACAAGGCTATATCTCGGCTATTAGTGCTAATTAACAAACAATGTATATAATTTATGGGGTCGGAAACGTTTTCTTCAAGGCGTTGCATATGTACATATGTATCCACATCTACTATATCCCTTTAACTCTTCCGAGTACCGGATTTATAATACAATTTTTCTCTTTACAGGCCGCCCACCTCTCTATTGTACGAATATCTTACAAAGGTTTTACCCACAGCTGGAAATAAAGTGGAAGGCCCATTCCGTTTAAAATGTATGAACTCCTTAAGTGGGGGCCAAAACAGTAAAATCAATAAAAACTTCGACATTTTTAATTCATTGAATGCATTTAGTTTTCATATAGAATTTAATAACATGTTAAAGATTTTATTCCTCATAGTTTGGAGCAGCACTCTTTGTTTTTGAATAGTCCCTCACAGGAGAATAAAACTGAAAATAAATATGTGGTTTGTATTAATAATTGCTATATAAGGATACCCTACAAATGTAGGGTAGTTTATTTGCATATGATTGGAATATGCACTTTATTTATATGTTAATGGATATGTATATAGCCATAGAAAAATCGATTCCATGATTAGTGCAATTTTTAATGTTAATATAGGCAAAATGCTTGGTACCTTATATTGTTTGTCTTTGTACTCTTGCCATGGTTCTGGGTTCGTTGAGCGATTCCATGTTACGTCTGGATTTCTGGTGGCTAGACGAGCCATATAATAGACAGCACCAATGGCTCCAGCAGCAACACAGACATAGAGTGGGATCAGCTACAAAATAAACTGATTACATAACTAAAAAAAATTTGTTTCAGGGTATTGAACTTACTGCTGGATTTTTCTTTATACTTTGCAACCCTAGTCCTTGCATTTTGATACGATCCTAGGGAAAAAAATTGATTAGTTGTTTCGCACTGTGTGAATTAACCCACAAACAATTACCTAATTCTTCTTTTCAATGAAAAAAAATATGTGTGACCAGAGTGTTGTGTAAAATAAATATTAAATCTGTAGTATTTTTCGTGTGTATTTTCGTCAGTATTGATATTCGAAATTTAGGAAATAAAAGTAATTCAAATTTTGTTAACCAACAGGCCGGGCATGGTATGCACAACGAAAATGGAACATAGTAAGTGATGAAATGGAAATAGCCATGGGAAATATTTTTTGTTCCAGATTCTGCAATCTTATATTTACATCCATACATGCGCCTTCACTGTAGTAAAACGTCTGGTTTTCTCGTATATTCAAAATTGTGGATGCCACCGATTTTCGTCCCTTGTTGGATCGGAAGGGGGCATGGAAACATTTAGAAACCAGCTCAACTCTTCCTTGAAGCAAGTGGAGTGCTGGAGGAACGGTGGGAATTTTTGAAGAAATACGAGTAGGGACGTTTGTGAGACGCTTCGTACGCTTCACAACTGTTTAACCATTCAAATGTCTAAAATTTGTTCCACATCTGTTATCTACATTTAAATCTACATATACATTACTTTTCACACCAACACGCCTTTTAGGTCGTCGCCCTCCCCCAGATCAACAAACTGTAATATTAAACACACACTTTTAACAGTGTGATATCACATGAGTTGTCACGCAAAATTTGGTCTCTCAAACTTTTATAGTCTCCGATAGCCAGGCGTTCATCAAGGGGGATGGAGAGACGAACAGACGGACGTACAGACAGACATGGCTATATCGACTCGGCTCTTGATGTCAGCGCCTAGATGTCAGAAATTATAAAAGGTAGAACCACCCAATGTTGCATCCAGATGGCTGTATGCTCACACTGTTACAAGTGTATTTCAAATTTCGTAAATCTGCTATTCACAATTTGAAGATAGGAGAAACGCCATTCTGTGGGGAAGGACCATATCTATCAGATCACCAAATTGGGATCATTATTATAGCCGGAATGAAGAAATTAATTTGCAGTGGATGAACCCACCCAGTGCAGCAGCTTTTTTTATTATTTGCACATTCTCTCAATTCCCACACTCTACTTCAAGCAGTGTGGGGCTCTAGGGGAGGGGGGCGAGCTGATGTAGATAGATGTACATAGATGAAAAATGTAAAATGTTAAATATAAAAAAATCAGTACGGTACAGCCGGAAACTGATAAACGAGTATAAAAGTGACGCCTAAGAAGTGTCTCGCTGTTCCTTCTCGTTCTGAAATAGTTTCTATAGCAAAGCTTTTCAACAATTTAAAAAAACGTTTTTTTTTGCTAATGCTTTTTCGAGAGGTATCGGTTCGATTTTGTAAATAACTTAAGTATCTTTGATTTTCTTGTAAAGAAGATTGCCTATCTGAAAAGCTATTTGATGCAGCTAAAAATTGGTCTAAACACTTTCTGCTTTAGTTTACCGTGTGGGAAATATGTATAAGGCTTTCAAATGCAGAAATGATGATTTTTATGCGGTATTTAAAAAAAATTTCGACTTTAACAACTTAGGAAAAGTAAAAAATCCTGGGTTCTTGGTTTTTATGTATAGATTCCAGAGTATTTCTGCCTTCAGTCATAGTATTTTAGCTCAGCCGTTGTTAATGAGCAATACCCTAAACAAATTACCCTAAAATTAATGCACCTGTACACCACAAAATACAGACAGGATATAATTTGTTTTCGACTTTTCCTGAGTCTTTTAAGGAATTTTGTAAAAAACACACACAAAAATCTTAATTTTTGCATATCAAAGCTCAATATTTCCCAGACGGTAAGCTTAAAACACAAAATGTTTAGATTAACTTTATTGATGTTGTTTACAAAATTATTTAAATAAAAGTTCTGCAATAGAAAAAAGAAAAATATATCATCAGCCCATTTATAATCTCCATAACTTTCAAAAAGAGTTGGGTTTGTTTTTTATTGAAAATCGTGTCGGGAAGTGCTATTTAAAAAAAAAAGTATGCCCTAGAAAAAGAAAGAAAGACGAGCAGATGCCTACTCTAGGATGGTTGATATAGTGTAGAGCTGGAATGTGAGATTTATTGCTTGACCAATTAGAAATTAACGAATTTTATGGTAAAAAAAGGAGATAGATCGCTAATAAAGAATGCATCAAAAGATCAAAGACTAACATTTCACAACAATATTTTCGAAGACTAAACTTCTGTGCCATATTTCTCGTTGTTTCCGGTTAACTAAAATTGGTGTCCGAACATAAAACCTCCAAGATCCTCTGTCAACTAGGGATTTTCGACTATAGTCGACTTTTGATGTTATCAACCATGCGCATAATGATGACATACCTTCCACCTCCACGAATACACGGTATCCAAGTGCAAATTAATTGGTTATCCTATGCTGATGATATTTCTCATTATAACTTGCTCTTTGTCAAGAGTAACACCAAAGTGTGAATTTTGGGAGGAGTCAAAAAAAATCGTTTACTGAAACCTCAGGAAAACTCAACCATTTGACCAAAACTTAAATAATGTAATTTGACTTTAGTTAGCGGCTACACACATAAGACTTAAAACGATTTCAGTGAAGGATAAAGAAAAAATCAAAAAGCTTAATAATGGGACGATATTGCTTATTTAGTATAGATAATATTTTAAGGAAGAACTCTATGTCAGAGTCGAGTTTCCAAGCTAATACTTCGAGTGTAGAAAACACATCAGCAAAAATTATAGCGAGAAGTATGTATCCCCTTTTTATGTACATATTATACCCTTGAAGTAAGTAAATGTGAAAAAGAGTTTTTCGGCACAGAATAAATCACCGCACTCTATTTGTAAATTTACAATGAGGAATGCTCTAGTGAATAAAGAAATGCACCAGATTTTCGTCCTTTGTTGCGGCAAAGGGGGGGTAACTCCACTTGTTACAGTGTGATAACACAGCAGTCTGAATGCAAAATATAGTTTCTCCATCTCTTATAGTCTCTAAGTACCAAGTTCTCATCAAAACGGACAGACGGACAGAATATGACTATTGATGCTCTTTTGATTAACCATCACCACAACTGACAATCTTTTACATATATAAAAACATTTATTTACGTAGTCGACGAGCATTTGGTTAATATCGTATAACGATATCATGGCAGTTCTTTTATACTCATTCGATATACATATGTATAAATAAGTTATAATATAGTAACTGATTATAAATCCTTTTTATACAGGGGTACCAGAGTGATCGCTTGAATTTTTTCTCAGTTTCATTCAGCGGTGCCAAACATGAACTTTTACTCCATTGCCAAATATCTTACTAATGTTTCACCTATTTATTTGATTAAAAACACCCAAAAAACATATTTATAAAATTACTTAAATTACTTTCCCATAAGGGATTTTAATTTACTGATTTTGCTCACAGTCAGCCAGAGTCCGAATGTGTGCCACCTAGATCGATTCGGATTTTCAAAGTTGAACTTTGTGAATTAGTGCCACTTTTTTTAAGCCGAATTCGGATTAAGGTTATATCTACATATATCTATATTAAATGTATATATATATAATTCTTTTTTATTTCCGGTATTCGAAGAATAAACAGGGTATATTGTATATGTGTTTAAAAGCCGATGTATGTAATGCAGAAAAGGAAACGTTTAAACCCCACAAAGTACATATATTCTTGATCAGCGTCAATAGCCGAGTCGATATACCCAGGTCTGTCTGTCCATCCATCCTTCCGTCTATCCGTCCGTCTGTCCGTCCGTCCGTCCGTCTCGTTGAGCGCCTATTTTTTTCGACTTTTCCTAAGTTTTTAAAGTCAACATTTCGAATAAAATGCCTCACAAAAGTCAACATTTTTGCATTTCAAGGCTTAATATTTTTCGAATGGTAAGCTAAAACCACAAAGTGTTTGGGTATACATACATAAGAGATGCATTCATCAGCTCTATAGAATGGCTAAATTCAGTACAACCGTATGTAAGATGCTTAAGATATGTGAAAAAAAGAAGCGCAACCTCTAAAAAAAACCGTTAGAAAAAAATACCAGACTTTAAAAATATTTTGAAAAAGTTCTGCCATAGAAAAAAAACTATGTTTCTTTAAACAATTTCTTAAGCCCACAGAACAAGTTGGTTTGCTTCGAAGCGGAAAAATTAAGTTCGATTTTGTCGAGTAGTGAAATTGAATGTGTTCAATATTAATTAATATTTCTTAATTCAATTTTTTGCAGGAGGAAATGATTCCTTGCACTTGTTGAGCTCTGTAAATAGTAAAGAGATTGAAGCCTATGAAAAGTTTATGGGGGATTGTGGAAAACTCAACATTCCTCTTACTTACGACTCCATGAACTCATCATATTTTCAGCATAAGCCCCAAACTGCTAATTGGCTGAAGATCGTAACTGTGCAAGGTAAATTATTGATTGTCACCTATCACAATTACTTACTACACTTTTATTAAATTAACAGGAAATCAATTTAAAAAAAAATGTGTTGACAGAAAGCCACGACAAGCATATAGTTCAAAGCAGCTGGACCGGCTTGAACATGAGTTTAAGCTTGATAAATACCTGAGCGTTAGCAAACGTATAGAGCTATCTCGATCATTACTTTTGACGGAGGCTCAAATAAAAACTTGGTTTCAAAATCGTAGAACAAAGTGGAAGAAACAACTAACATCACGCCAAAAACCATTTCAAAGTCCAGAATTATACAATATTACAATTAATATCCCCAACTATAAATCCGTAATAACTCATTCATCCTATGAACAAGCTACTCGTATTTACACTGCACGTCAATTTTGCCAAATTAAATCTGAAATAGACTCCTACGGCAATAACAAGGAATAAAATTAGAAGGGACGTGTGAGACGCTTCTTAAGCGTCACAACTTTAATACACGGCACTCAGTACTACATCTGTACCTTGGCGGTTATTTGTCAAATTTTAAATATTTTCCTCATCTGTCATCTACAGTTGTGTTCAATGAAATAGTAGTGACAGACCTCCTCACATTCAAAGACTTTTTTGAGACACTCCCAGACTTTCAATTTAAATGAATGATAGATTTTTGAATAGAGATTAATGTAGGCTTTAGAAAATCAAAGAAATCCCTACACATTTGCATTCCATCTTCTTGTTTTTCATAACTTTTGACGGATACCCTTGAAATAGTCTGTGTATATTGAAATAGTAGTGCTGAGTGCAAGTACTTAAAAAAATAATTTAAAAAAAACCAAAAAATTCGAAAAAGTTACCCTCAATAAACTTAATCTATTATACTAAATATTTTGATGAAAGAAATGTTTGGACATGGCTGTATTTTTGTTTTAGGCTTAGAAAATATCACTGTTTGCTCCAGTAGAGGATACCTAAGATTTTGATTAAAAACTAAAGTCAAGAGGTATAATGGAATTGAAGACTAAGTTTAATGTGCTCTTAATATTTCAATTAACCATTTTAACTTGAAGAAGATTCCTGAAAACGGATATTTTATGCGAAAATCGTATCTTTTAGAGGTTGGTCGAAGATGGTCGAAGGCAAGGTCTTCAATATCCTCAAAAGTTATGAAAACAATTTTATATCGCTCTGTAAGTGTTATGACAGTTAGCGTACGACTGACTATATATTATTTAATTGCAAGAAGTCCCAGAAAGCTAGGCGTTTGGTACTGAATATATAGGGGTGTATGGCTAAGGACCTTATTGATTTATTCCAGGCGGGAGCAAGGAAGTAATTAAATCAAAATTGATAAAAAAGTAAATATTAAACCTCAAGAAACATGTAGAGCATTAAAGATGGGTAGTTTTTTGTTCGATTTTCAAAGATTTCACTACTATTTCATTGAACAGCACTTTTCATTGGTATTTTTGTAAAGTCATGTAAAACATGAAGATGGAATGCAAATGTTCCAGAATCAGGTTTCTAGTGTGTACATTTCAAGCTTTCTAAAAAGGTATCACTTGTTTAATTTGGATGATTGAAAATGTCTTAAAAATAGTTTTGAAAGTGGTGAGGTGCGGCACTGCTAGTTCATTGCACACAGATGTACATCTACAACACTTCTCACGCCAACACGCTCCGTTAGCGCGCCCCCCTTCCCTAGACCCACACACTAACGGCAGAGGCAGCGCCCGCTCACAAAAAAAAAAACAAATATAAAAAAGGTTAAAAATCGGCAGAGCGACGGCAGAGGCAGAGGTCTCATAATGCAGAAGCAGAGTGCGAATAAAAGAATGTGCAAAAAACAAATATAAGCTACGGAACGGGGTGGGTTTAGCCCATGGAAATTAATTTCCGTTATGGCTATAATAATGATCCAACCGGATCCCCATTTGGTGATCTGATAGATATGGGCATTCCCTACGGAATGGCCTTTTTAGTTTTCATGTATCTTCAAAATTGTAGATTTGGGAGGTTTTCGCCTATTTGCGGGGAGGAAGGGGGCGTGGCTCATTTTCTTAAATACCCTTGTAACAGTGTGAGCATGCAGAAGTCTGGATGCAAAATTTGGTGGCTCTAGCTATTATAGTCTCTGAGTACTAGGCGCTCAACAAGACGGACAGACAGACGGACAGACAGACATGGCTCTATCGTCTCGGCTATTGATGCTGATAAAGAATATATATACTTTATGGGGTCGGAAACGTTTCCTTCTGTGCGTTACATACAACCGTTATTCGCACAAATACAATATACCCTATTTATTCTTCGAGTACCGGGTATAATAACCCAAAAAATCGCTTATCAGAGCAATCATTATTTTAGCTTACGAGTGACAAGATTTCGTGTATTGCTCTCTTCTTCACACGCTCCAGTCACATCAATGACACTACACAATTATCCAAGTGAACTTTCTGACTGCTGCTTACTTGTAATTAGAAATGGTCCAGAAGGCTCACTGAATAAGCAGCGGATTACGATAGCAGAGAAGCAGCAGCAGCAGAAGGAAAAGAGAGCAACGGCATAAAAGCATATTAACGATAGAAAAGCAGCAACAGCAAAAGTAGAAAATAGAGAAAAAAGGAGTCATTCACAAAAGCAAAGTCGCAGAGTCAATGTCAAAATCAGCCAGCAGCATAAAGTATCCGAAGAGATAATTATATTGATCTTTAGATTAATCCTTAGGCTAATCCTCACATAAATCCCTAGATTAATCCTATATTAGTTCTTAAAAGTTTTTATAAATATAATATTTAAGGATAACACTACTCGACACGATTTTGACGCTTCGATCCAGAAAAATTTTTTATGAAAAAAATGGGGCTTACAAATGGTTTTATATTATTTAGTTTTTCTATGCCAGAACTTTTTTTAAAGAATTGTTAAAGTCCGGTATTTTTTTGTAACGGTTTATTTTTAGAGGTAGCGCTTCTTTTTTTCACATAACTCAAGAATCTTACTTCTGGTTGTAACGAACTTAGCCATTTTATAAAGCTAATGATTGCATCTCTAAAGTGTACCCAAGCACTTTGTGAACTTAGCTTACCTTTTGAAAAATACTAAGCTTTAAAATGCAGAAATGTTGTTTTTTGTGAATTATTTTGTACGAAATATTGACTTTAAAAACTCGGGAAAATCGATAAAAAAAAATGCATGTGTCCACTATTTTATGAATAGGTGCATTAACTAGGCGTCGTTTAAGGTATTGCTCATCAAAATCTGTGGAGAGACGGCTGAGCCAAGCGGAGAAGGGGAGGTGGACCAAACGGCTCATCCCCCAGCTTAGCACATGGCTACAGAGAAGTAGAGACCAAATCGACCATTACCTTTGCCAACTCCTTACAGGCCATGGCGGCTTCAAGCCATTGCGGGCCTGGAGTAGTCGAAGATGCGGAGTACGTCTTCTTTTCCTCCCCATACTTCGCAGAAGATCGAGAGAGGATTTAGGAAATTAGCCCACTGATCAGCACGTACACCGAGTTGATGATGGCCGACGAGCAGACGCGGTTGCAAAAATGGTTTCAAACATTATCAAGGAGCTGCGCCGGCTCGAGCGAAGTCTACCGCGCTAAGTCCAACCGAAGGCCCCACACCCCGTCCTGTGAAGTAATGCCTAGCGGCAGTCCCGCGGTAACGGACTCTTAAACACCCCCTAACAAACATATCTACCCACCCCTAGTTATAATTATGAGGCAAAGTAGGCGGGATGTGGGTCTATAGTTGCTACCTGGCGCCCAGCCTCCCGCTGGAGACCTTCAGCCGCATCATCGACGAGCTGATCGGAGACCTGCGAGGACGAAGCGACGTCGTGGTCGGGGGCGACTTCAATGCCTGGGCCCAGGAGTGGGGGTCCTCCCGAACCAACGCTAGAGGACGCACGGTGCTGGAGGCCTTCGCCACCTTGGACATGGTGCTGCTCAACGAAGGACACCAACAAACGTTCAGCAGGGGAGGCATGGGGTCAGTTATTGACCTCACATTCGCCAGCAGCGCGTTGGCCAGAACCGCCAGTTGGAGAATCAGCAACGCCTACACCGCTAGCGACCACGAGGCCATCGAGTGCGTGTTTGGCGGACTGGACCCGGGAAGAGCATCCCCTACTCAGAATAGGAAGGCGTATCGGCAGGCCACGCTGAGGACACAGGCCTTCGCAAGCGCCCTCCGGACCCACACGGCATCAGAGACTGATGGAGCCAACGAGTGGGCGACCACAGCGAAGTGCGTTTGGGAAACTCCATGCCCCAGTCTTCTGGTGGAACGAGGACATCGCCGAGCTCCGCAAAATCTGCCATAGCGCGAGAAGACAGCTCCAACGAGCCAGGGGAACTCCGCGTCTAGTGACTTGCTGCGAGGCATATAAAGTCGCGCGAAAGGAGTTGAAGACCGCAATCAGAGACAGCAAAAGAGAATGCTTCCTCAAGCTGTGCGACGCCGGAAGCAGAGCCCCAACAGACCCAGTAGTGCTGGAGGGGATAGTTAGGACCTTGTTCCCGCAAGGGCGGCCCATAACATCTTCCCCGAGAACAGCCTGGACGACATCTGCGAGGTCACGGAGGAAGAGGTGCGGGCAGTGACCTGAACCCCAAGAAGGCACCGGGGCCGGACGCGATTCCTCACCGAGCGACGAATCTGGCACTAGCGCTGATCCCAAGCGAGGTCATGGGTCTGTTCAACAGATGCCTACACGAGGGTACGTTCCCATCGAGGTGGAAGAGGCAACGGCTCCTTTTGCTGTCAAAGCCGGGCAAGCCGCCCGGCGAGGCATCCTCCTACAGGCCCATCTGCCTCCTGGACACGATAGGGAAGGTCTTCGAGAAGTTGATCGCCACGAGGCTGAGCGCATCCATCGAAGCAGCAGGCGGCCTATCCCCGGAGCAATACGGGTTCAGGAAGGGGAAGTCGACTCTGGGTGCCATCTCCAAGGTGGTTAAAACGGGAGGAAGCATGCGCTGGTTCCAGATGGAGAGGAGGGTCCAAATCCTACTGTCTCGTGGTGACACTTGACATAAGGAACGCCTTTAACTCGGGAGATTGGAGCCGCACGCTAGAGGCCCTACAGCGGTTCAACATCCCTGGATACCTACAGAGAATAGCGCGTAGCTACTTCAGAGACAGGGTGCTGACGTACGAGACCAGTCTGGGTTCCAGGGCATACGAAGTCTCAGCCGGAGTCCCTCAGGGCTCCGTTTTGGGACCCCTGCTCTGGAACGAAATGTACGACGGAGTCCTGAGACTACCGATGCCAGCCAATACCAGCATGGTGGGGTTTGCGGATGACGTCGCCATAGTGGTGGTGGCCAAGCACCTCGCCGCAGTGGAGGAGCTCGCCAACGCGGCCGTCCGAGCCGTGGAGTCGTGGCTTACGGTCGCCGGATTGGACCTGGCAGCGCAGAAGACTGAGGCGGTGCTCATATCGAGCCGGAAAGCTGTAGAGACGGCAAGTGTGAAGGTCGGTGGCACCACGATACGCTCGCAGAGGGCAATCAAGTACCTCGGGGTGCTCATCGACACTCGCCTCTCCTTCAAGGAGCACTTGGAGTACGTGCAGAAGAAGGCCAGCGGAACCGCAGTAGCGCTCTCGCGAATGCTTCTCAACATCAGAGGCCCGAAGCAGGCAACGCGGAAGCTCCTGACGAGTGTCGTGACGTCGCAGATCCTGTACGCAGCGCCCGCGTTGGCGAAAGCCGCTCAGGTGAAGACCTACATGAGAGGTGTGGAGGCGACATACGGGCTGTGTGCCCTACGGATTGCGTGCTCGTTCCGGACTGTGTCGGACGAAGCAGCGCTGGTCATTGCGGGGCAAGTCCCACTCAGGGAGCTTATAAGGGAGATTTCAGAGATCCATACGGCCGTGCAGGGCGGAAGCGAGGCGACAAGAGCCGAACCGAAGGCTGCCGCGAGGAGGAAAAGCATCAGCAGATGGCAGACCCAGTGGGACAGTTCAACTAAAGGGCGCTGGACTTATACCCTCATACCGAAGCTGCAAGCCTGGATCGAGAGGAAGCACGGCCAGGTAGATTACCTCACCCAAGCGCTTAGTGGTCATGGCTGCTTCCGCAGCTACCTCAAGCGCTTTTGCCACGAGACGGAGGACTGGTGCCCAGAGTGCGGCACCGGCATAGTGGACGATGCACAGCACGTCCTCTTCGAATGCCACCGGTTTGACCACGAGCGTCACCGCATGGAGGCAGTAGTAGGCGCCAGGATCTCCTCCGAGACCTTGGTGCCGATTATGCTGACCGAGCCAAGGGCATGGGAAGCGGCCGCAGAGTTCGCCTCGAGCGTTATGCGAACGCTGAGAGTGTTGGAGAGGAGGCGTAAGCAGGAGACGGAGTAGGAGCCTTCGAGCGTGCGAGGCAATGCTTTGCGGCAGTACCGCGCGCGCCGGGCGCCCACTCCCACTAGCAAATACGTCCCTCATTATAAGTATACCCACTAGTGTAAGAATGTAGTATTATTAAAGCAAGATAATTAGAAGGAATAAACAAATGAATACAAAAAACCCCTAGTTATTATACCCAATTGGTAAACCTACACCCAATCGAAAGTAGGCGCAATCGTGCAGAATGAGGGAATCGGCAAAGGAAAAGACGAGGCACACGTGTCGCGACACTCAGATGACCGGCACTGGATAAGTGTTCCGGTCATGTGTTCAAAGGTGTTCAATTTTTAGGTAATTCGTCTCTTTAAATGTTTTCTGTTTGTAATCTCGAAGGACTACAAGAATCAGTGCACTTTCCATAATTAATAAAAATAACACAGTAAATAAATTTAAAAAATACTCAAATGTGATTTTATTCTGATTTATTTATTCTTTATTTTAAAAATAAAGAGATAAAACGCATTCATATTGCATTATTTGTACCGTCAGAACGGACTTATCAAAAAAGCGGTACTTTCTCTGCATTGTTGTCCCAAAAGCCCCATATCCACTCAAAAATAACACATTTTTCATGAATTTAATTTTGTAAAAAAAAACAAAAAAGTGTACCCAGACAGCGTGCCCTTTTGCACACTTGGCACAGAGCGAATGTAATGCACTTTCAGCGCAAGAAAATTTGGCGTATCTGAGTACTGGGCTCTACTCAGATGCACAAATTTTCTTGCGATAGAAGCAGGGATGATATTCCCATACAAACGATAAGAAATCAAACCTGTTTTTTGTTCGACAGAAAATTTTAGCGACAGAATTTTGCAGTAGAGCTTTCAGCTCTGCAGAAAATATACTAGAAATTCAGTTGATTAAATACTGCAAATACTGCAGCGGAAGAAAGAAAAATCTATCTTTTGTCGACAAAACACGCAACAAGGAAGGTAACAAGCAAAACAGGCGCAGGAGGGTTAGAGAAGAGCATTCAATTAAAACGATTTAAAAATTATTGATGCCGTCGAACGAAAAGGGATTTTTTTTTTATCAATTCATAATTAGATAAAACACAGGTTTATTTCATTTCAGTCCCTCCTTAACGAACATATAAAATAATGCGGTGAACTCCATATTATCAATAACACACTCCTCCTCCTTTCATACAAAATTTGATATTGTAACGGTTCTCATTTTGTAAACAAACACATAATAGTGTACCCAGAGAGCATGCACTTTAGTAAACTTTGTTCGTACTGGTCACATAGCGAAACATATGGCACTTTCTGTAGCCTGAATATTTTGCGTGTCCTGAGTACTGACACTAACCAAATAGTAAATACTATACTAATGAGGTACTGAGCTTAATAGGCTAATATTCAAGAAATGAAAAATTAAACATAATTAGGTATATTTATGACGGTCAGACTGAATATTTTATCGATATGTGAACCCTTACATTGATGTGTACGTAAAGATGTGTAAAGCAAAAGATAACAATTGTAAAATGAAGTAAAATGTCAAAGAATACATTTGGTACGGCTCCCAAATTATCTTTGTTGTCTAATTCTGTTTTCATTTGATATTTCCAGATAGAATTGGATTCATTGAGACGTGCCTGTACCCGATTTGTGTGCTCCTGTCGATTCCAAAACGAAGTGGTTTCGGAAAAGTTAATTATTTTTAGTGGGAAATGTTACTGGGATTCCGAAAAGGATTTTTCAAGCTCGTTTTTAAGTCGGTATGCGATAACGAGAGTGCGTATGGAGGCTAAGTTTGTATCAGCTTATACCGAAACGATGTAGTCACATGTGCTAAGACACTGATTTTCTGAAATATTTTTTAAACTGTGGTAAGTGTTACACCAGCTGCATACATATGATACATAAGTATCATGATACATACATATGTACATATATTTCTGCATATGTCGTCTAGTTTTTTAATCGAAAGGCCGATATTGAACGTTCCCAGGTCGTGTACATAGGACATATGTTAATACTTTTCACCTTTCTGATTTGTCCAGATTTGAGTTAAAAAGAAAGTATAAAGGTTGAATATTATACATACATATGTATTTACATAATTATATGCATGTAAATATATATGTACATTGTACAATGATCCATCGTACACTTATCAGTTTAGTTAAAATGTGTTCAAGAATGTATATGTTTCCCCCTTTTGTTATTACGTTATAGCATGCACTATCGATCATCTAGGGTACAGTTAGCTTTAACCAAAGGAACTTTTTATACCCGGTACTCGAAGAGTATATAGGGTATATTGTATTTGTGCACAAAGTTAATGTATGTATCGCACAGAAGGAAACGTTTCCGACCTCATAAAGTATATATATTCTTGATCAGCATCAATAGCCGAGTAGATTGAGCCATGTTTGTCTGTCCGTCTGTCCGTCTTGTTGAGCGCCTGGGTCTCAGAGGCCATAAAAGCTAGAGCCACCAAATTTTTCATCCAGACTTCTGTATGCTCACACTGTTACAAGTGTATTTAAAAAATGAGCCCCGACCCTTCAAAAATGCGAAAACCTCCCAATCCTATAATTTTGAAGATAAAACGCCATTCCGTAGGGAATGACCATATCCATCAGATCACCGAATTGGGAGAGCCAGAATAAAGAAATAAATATGCAGTGGCTAAACCTACCCCGCCCCGCAGCATATATTTATTTTTTTTCACATTCTCTTATTCACACTCTGCTTCTGCTGTGTGATGCCACTGCCCCTGCCACGAGTCTGCAACGTGATGGTCTAGGGAAGGGGGCGAGATAAAGGAGCGTGTTGGTGTGAGAAGTGTTGTTTGAAAAAACACCGCTAAAGGGCAGATGTAGTACTGAGTGCCGGGTATAAAAGTTGTGACGCGTAAGAAGCGTCTCACACGTCCCTTCTCGTTTTAAAATATTTTTTGTAAGGCATTACCAATGAAAAAAAATACCCAAAGGCAACCGGGTAACCGATACGCCCAATTGCCTTACACATGTTTTTAACCAAAGCTGTAAATCCATTCAAACTAATTATGCAACATTTATTTATTTTTATTAAATAGCTTAACATAATCATTTTACTGTGCTTACATTTTTTATTTATATATTTTTGAAAAATAAAGTAAAATATTTTACATGGACAGCTTTGTTTTTGTGTTTTTATTTGTTTTGTTGACTAAATACATATTTGTTGGATTCGCATTATTAACGGGGTCCATCACTTCATTACGCTCTATTTTCTATTTCGCACAATTAGCAGAATTCCGCTGCGAACAAATTTGGGTAAGCTTCCATAAAACGACTGCATTGAGAACCTCGAGTACCCCACCCTTTCAGACGCTCATTGACAGCGGAAGGATGGGAGTACAAACATTTTTACATAATTATATACATATGTATAAGTACATATATCCATGAAGCAACTATAGTCGCTCTCCCACGCTCTCTAACACTAACACCAATGCAGCAATGCGAAAGCCAGACCACGAGCAATACTTTAAACGTCGCCAAATTAATACACCCGTACATAAAAAATAGAGGACACAGGATTTAATTTTTTTTCCACTTTTCCTGTTTTTAAAGTCACAAAAATTAACATATTTGCATTTCAAAACTTAATATTTTTCAACCGGTAAGCTAAAACCACAAAGTGTTTGGATATACATTATAGATGCATTTATCAGTTTTATAGAATGGCTAAGTTCATCACAACAAGATATAAAATACTTGAGCTGTGTGGAAAAAGAAGAGCTAACTCTAAAAAAAGCTCTACAAGAAAATAACAGATTTTAAAAATTCTAAAAAAAAAGTTCTGCCATGTAAATCCATAATACATAATTCTTTAAAAAATGTTAAAACCCTCAGTCTATTAGAAAAAATCGGTTTGGTTACGAGCGGAAAAAAAATTCGCTTTTGTCGAGTAGTGTTATTGAAAGCGACCATAAAATCCGTGCCTCGAAAAAATCGATCTCTTTCTTCCCTCAAAAAACCAAACCGACTTTTTCTAATAGATTTTGAGAATTAACATTTTTTAATGAATTATGTTTTGGTTTGTTTTTTTATGGCATTACTGTTTTTTTAGAATTTTTAAAAACTGCATGCATTAATCAGCATAAAATGACAAAGTTGACTACAACCGGATGTACGATACTTCTAAAAAAAAGCCATACAAGAAAACGCCAGTTCTTTTCCGCATACAAAAGAATATCATCTGACCATTTCTAATCCCCGTACCCTTCCGAAGAAGTTGGTTTGGTTCCTTTAGGGAAAATCGTGTTGGGTAGTGTAGTCGAAGGCCCGTTGACTAAGACTGATAGCTGTAGAACTGTAGATAACCTTAAAGTAAAATGGCGATATTACTTAATTTTACGTTTTACTAATTCTTCTTTTTAGGGTGAAAAACAAAAACGGATACAAAAATGCCAGCAAAACTATATAGAACTGCTTACTATTGTACTATAAGAATTCTTCTGCTTTATGCTACAACAGATGTATGCAAATGTGCTTCAAATGACCCATACGCTGCTCTAGGAGTTAATAGTCTAGCGACTACCCAAGAAATAAGGAAAGCATACAAACAGATGGCAAAAGAGTGGTAAACAAGTCTGACCGGTTATATATAATTAAATATTTTTAAGAAGTTATTAAATATTTTCAGGCATCCAGACAAAAATCAGATTCCCGGAGCCGAAGCAAAGTTTGTTGAGATAAAAAAGTCATATGAACTTTTAAGTGATTATAATCGAAGACGAATATATGACAGACACGGAATAATTGATGAAGACTCTCATTTCTTGCAAAAAAAGCATGATTATAGTGAATATGATCGTTTTGCATCTGATCAAGATGAGAATATTTTTGGAAAACATTTCATTATTGATCAAGACATTGTTTTATACCATAAACTTTCAGTAACAGCAAATTATTTCGAGAACACCATTTTGCTGAAAAGTGCAAAACAATTACATATAATTATGTTTTACAATGACTGGTGCTTCCAGTGTACGCGACTAGTTGGAGCATTTAAAAAGTTAATTGATGTCCTGGAACCTTTAGGTAATCATTTATATCATAATAAAGATATGTTCTTCTTAAGATATTAAAAACACATATTTTAGGTATTCATTTTTCCACTATAAATGCTGCTCACGAACCGTCAATTCTACGAAAAACTGGAGCAAACGAAATTCCAAAAATGATTCTTGTGTTGAACGGACAAGTTTTTGTGTTTCGAGAATATTCGTTTACGCCACAAAAAGTTGTAGGTAAGTGGATGAGACTGAGACAGAAATGATCGGGCGAAAAACATATCAGTCACTTTATTATAATTTAGACCAAATAATAAGCATACTCTCTATATGATGTCCGGATTTCCAAGCCCACTGTGCTTGCGGCCGTTACCGCCTCCTCTTGCGGCCGACTTGTGGTATTCCTTCGGGGCCTTTTGGGAGCGTTGGCGTCTCTCTGCTGAGCTAGGCGCATACATCTAGGACCCTGTTCCACTAATGGACCTTTCGTCACGGGCGGCTGGTTTAGCCTTTGCCACGCCTCCGTTTGCGATGCGACTTCCTCCAGACAGTCTATCCTTTTCCGAGCATAGAACTACGCTTCTTGCCTGTCGCTATTGCCCACTGCGTCTACTTGGTTTGCCTCACTGATTCTCGAGAGCACCTCGTTCTTTTGCACGAACAACGCTCTTGTAGTTATATTAATAAGACGCGTATTCTTATCCATTATTCGCATCGTGATCTCCTACAGGATTTTCCGTAGCTCCCCTAGGCTTTCCAGGCAGGTTGCTTCCTTAGAGGCCGTACCCTTGGGCGGCGTCGTTCTCTGTGAACTCGACTGGATTGAAGGGTCTGGGTACGTGATCTGCTCTACTACTGTGGTTGACGAGGGTGCCTGCGATCGGGTGAGGTTGTTGCCCTTCCCGAACACCGATGTCTCTACATCAATCTCTTCTTCCCGCAGTACATGTCCGTTCGATTTTGACTGCCACACACCTGTGCACGTGTTTGGTCAACAAAAAGAACAAATATACAATTTTTCGAGATCGGATAATACCAACGCTTTTTTTTCTCGTATTTATACCCGGAACTCAAACAGACAATAGGGTATATTTAATTTGTGGTCGGAACACACAGAAGGAACGCACGTTTGCGACTCTATGTAGTGTATGTATTCTTAATCAGTATCAATAGCCTAGTCGATATAACCCTTTCTATCTGTCCGAAAATCTGATGTATCCACAATTTTGAAGATAAAAGAAAAAATAAAATAAAAATGCAATTCCGTAGGATCTGAGATTGGACATTATTATTGCCAGAATGTAGAAATTAATTTGCTACCCCCACTCCGTCCAGAAGCTTTGCTTATGTAGAAAAAAATGTAAAGCTCGAAAAAAAAACCACTAAGGTCAGATACACTGACTGAGTACCGGGTGTAAAGGTGTGACGCGTGCAAAGCGTTTCACATAAGTTCTTAGGGTACATTCCCGCTCGCACACTCTGCCTCGTGTATGCGGTTTTTGGGGAGGGGTGCGAGCTAAACGGTCGTGTTGTAAAAAATATGTAAAATGTAAAGGAAAAATCATAAGGTTAAATACTTGTGTATGTATGTATCGCTTAAAAGGCTACACATATGTACATACATATGTATATACTGACTGAGTACCGGGTATAAAAGCTGTGACGCTTCTCGATTTAGTATACACGGTACTCGAAGAGTACATAGGGTATATTGTATTTGTGGGGAATAACGGTTGTATGTAACGCACAGAAGGAAACGTTTCCGACCCCATAAAGTATATATATTCTTGATCAGCATCAATAGACGAGTCGATAGAGCCACGTCTGTCTGTCCGTATGTCCGTCCGTCCGTCTGTCCGTCTTGTTTGTCGGCTAGTTCACAGAGACTATAAGAGCTAGAGCCACCAAATGTTGGCTCCAGACTGCTGTATGCTCATACTGAAACCAGTGTATTTCAGAAATTAGCCCCTTCCGCCCCCGCAAAAAAGCGAAAACCTCCCAAATTTATATTTTTGAAGATAAAAGAAAACTAAAAACGCCACTCCGTAAGGGATGACCATATCTATCAGATTACCAAATTGGGATCCGACTGGATCATTATTATGGCCACAATGAAGAAATTAATTTGCAGTGGGTAAACCCACCCCCTCCCGCAGCTTGTATTTGTTTTTTGCACATTCTCTCATTCACACTCTGCTTCACGCAGACACGTCTCTGCCTCTGCCGCGTCTATGCCCTGACTCTGCAGTGTGTGGCTCTAGGGGAGGGTGGCGAGCTAAAGGAGCGTGTTGGCGTGAGTAGTATTGTTAATGTAGATGACAGATGAGGAACAAATTTAAAAATTGACAAATAACCGCTAAGGTACAGATGAATTATTATTATCATCGCTGTGTACACATAGATGATGTCAGGTTGCAAGCCCCGTATTCTTCCAAAAGTCTTTTCTACCTTTTGTCCGCGTTTCTCTTCCGTGAGAGTTTAAAGTCAAATTTCTGGTACTTCGAAGTCGATAGACGATCAGAAGCAAAAACTTTTCCGCTATCGCATAGGACTAAATTCCACAAGAGTGGATATAACACGTGCAAGAAGCACGCTGGTGTGACTGTCTTTTTTTGGCGAGGTGACTTGATTGGCGCATCTCGTTCTCAATCTGAGAATGCAGCCCAGCCTTATAGTTACCGTCGTGTATATACCAACCTACCAGATTCGATCATAAGATTTTTGAAAGGCTTCCTCAATATCGAAGAAAAAGATATTCAGACTCAATACTAGGCTTGAGGTAGACTTGAATTAAAGATTATCTGTAACCATGGTAGGCGTAATTATGCTTTTTAAAGAATGGCTGGTTGGAAGTCATCCGGTCCCTGGGGCTTATAGGAATTTATAGTTCATTTTTATAGTGTGAGTAGTGTTGTTGATGAAGATGACAGATGAAGAAAAAATTTAAAATTTGACAAATAATCGCTAAGGTACAGATGTAGTACTGAGTGCCGGGTATAGAAGTATGACGCGTAAGAAGCGTCTCACACGTCCCTTCTCGTTTTTTAATGGATATGAATTTATTCTTGATTATATATAATATATGAAAATTTGGGGTTGACAATCCAGTTTTCAGGGGACTTAAGCCCTTCATTGTATAAACATAAATATAAAGACTCAATTTCCAAATTGTTTATTTTTGACATACAGAATTTATACGAAAAAAATTGCCGTATAAGATTGCTCAGCGCGTATATGATGACAATATAGATGACTTTCTTGGTGGCTGGATGGACAACAGAGTGCGCGTATTAATTTTAGAGCCCCGGAGTTTAATTCGGTTACGATACCTGCTAACCGCCTTTGCTTTTTATGATCGTGTTGCCTTTGGGTAAGAATACATGTCTACTTTTTATTATTTTTATGTTGCCTGTTGGTATGTAAGGCCCTAAAACATATACACTTTTTTCTTAAAAAGTTTAACATCACTATACTAAATACTAGAGTCTAAAATTATATGACAACTGCAAACTTATATATTGTGGAACTACAAATAGAGGAGGAACATTGTGAGCCGCGTCACTACTTTTTTATAGTGACTACTTTACAGTAGTTTTTCATCTCTTATGGATTCACTTCAGAAATAATTGTCAACCACTTATTCCTGAGCTGTGTATCACCTGTTCTCTCAGTAGATTGATACAGATATACATCTGTAGATTTCGTTTGGATTGTGATCCCCAAAGTATAAGGAAAATGAATTTTCCCTGGAGTAGTTTTTATACCCGTTGCTCGAAGAGTACATAGGGTATATTGTATTTGTGCATATATTCTTGATCAGCATCTATAGCCGAGTCGATATGGCCATGTCTCTCTGTCCTTCCGACGGAAAGACTTGCCTCCAGACTGATACAAGTGTGTTTCTAAAATTGGCCACACCATATTCCGCCTCCCTAAAAGCCGAAAATCTGCTGTATCCACAATTTTGAAGAAAAGCGGAATCTAACAACGCCATTCCTTAGGGTATTACCACATCTATCAGATCAGATTATTAGATAAGATTGGATCATTATTATAGCCAGTATGAAGAAATTAATTTGCTGTGGCTACCCCCGCCCCGTCCAGCAGCTTTTTTTATTTTTTGCACATTCTCTCATTCTACACTCTGCATCGTACAGTGTGCGGCTCTAGAAGCTAAAATATCGTGTTGGCGCGAGAAGTGTAAAATGTAAATGTGTAAGAAATGTAAAATGTGAAATTAAACGAGAAAGGACGTGTGAGACGCTTCTTACGCGTCACAACTTTTCTACCCGGTACTCAGTAGAACATCTATACTTAAACGGTTTTTTTTAAATTATTAATTTTAAATTTTACATTTTTCATCAACATCTACATCTACATAACTTCTCACTCCAACACGCTCCTTTAGCTCTCCCCCCCTCCCTAGAACCGCAGAATGCAGAAGCAGAGTGTGAATGAGAGAATGTGCCAAAAAACAAATATAAGCTGCGGGACGGGGTGGGTTTAGCCACTGGAAATTAATTTCTTCATTGTGGCGGATCTCAATTTGGTGATCTGATAGATAAGGTCATTCCCTACGGAATGGCGTTTTTAGTTTTCTTTTATCTTCAAAATTGTAGGTTTGGAAGGTTTTCGCCCTTTTGCGGGGGCGGAAAGGGGCGGGGCTCCTTTTTGAAATACACTTGTAACAGTGTGAGCATACAAAAAAAATTGGTGACTCTAGCTTTTATAGTCTCTGAAATCCAGGCGCTCAACAAGACGTACGGACGACAGACAGACATGGCTCAATCGACTCGGCTATTGATGGGGTCGGAAACGTTTCCTTCTGTGCGTTACATACAACCGTTATTCCCCCTAAATGAATATACCCTATTTACTCTTCGAGTACCGAGTATAAAAAAACCGCTAAGGTAAGGATGTACCACTGAGTACCGGGTATTTAAGTTGTGACGCGTAGGAAGCGTCTCACACGTCCCTTCTCCTTTTATATGAAGCTCAGCCGGAATTTTTGGTCGGAATATTGACTTTAGTGCAAAATCGGGTATTAAGCACCGCGGAAACAAACCATTCCTGTCAAACTTTAATTTCTTTTCGTTTGTCGAGTATCCAACAACCTAAACGAAATCCACTCACGTACACGTGTATTACAGTGATTCGTACAAAATACCAATGTATTTCAGGGTTCCGTTTTGCGTGCTGTCTTCGCACACAAACGCAAAACCGAAGCGCGAAGTATGGGTGCTTAGCCTGTGTGGACTGGGAGAACAGCTGATAAACAGTTTTTTATTAAACATTTTAAGAATAAGTGTTATTCGTAACCTTTATATAAGAAATTCGTAGGTTGCATTGTTAATTTTATAACTTCTAACATATACTGTCCCTGATATATACAAATTTTAATTTCAGATTTGTTGACCTGACTAAAAAGAATTCGAAAGCAATAATCGATCGGCTCCAAATAAATCCAAGCTTAGACACTCTTCTTATATTTAATGAAGATTCTACAAGATCTATTGCCAGAATAACATTGTCGGACATTTCAACTCAAATATTGACTAATATGTTAACTCCAAATCAATTTTTAATTTTACCAAGATTATCATCACAAGAAATGTTGGAAAGTAAGTATTGTTTAGATACTTAAAGATTTTAAGTTTTAATGTAGGACATTTGTAGAAATTTTGGTTCTGAAAAGCTGCACATAAGAATTTTGTTATTCTAGACGGACGGACAAACACTACGGACGGAGGGACGGGCAGACAGACATGGCAATATCAATAGTGAACGGTCAAATTGAAAAATAAACCAACTAATCCATGAGATGATTGTAACCATTCAAATTGTTTAATGTTGACTTCGGTTTGATTTTTGTCGTATGAAAGTATGAAATGGGGCTAAAAAACCTCTGCAACCTTAGCACAATGGATCCGACGCCTCCCGCCTTCCCATAACCCGCCAAAATAGGGAAATCGAGGAGGGATCCTAAAGAATTCGATAACAAAGTTCCAAATCTAATAAGATATATTGGGAAGTATCCCCTTGCTGCGACATCTTCTGGGTGAATATCTGTTCGAATGTGATGCCACTCCATTTTCTGTGTCAGCTCCTGGATTTGTTCAATTCTGTGGGAGATAAAGTTTAAGGCTTCAAGTACTCATGGCAATACTAGTTGAGACAATACTAGTTGAGTGGAAATCACAGGGTGATGACGCAAGCTCCATATGCTGTCAAGCTGTCATCACAAAATGCGTGCAACTCGAGAGATGAGTTTGGAGGAAACGAAAATACTTGATGTTCTGAACAATGCGTAATTGAGATGTCATATCTTACCAGACTGCCGGCAAATGTTAAATCTTCTTTCAATAAGCTTTGTTATCCCATGGATCCCATGCAAGCCCTAACGCCTTCGCCCGTTCCACCATAGAACTCTAGGCTTATTCGAGCAACATTTGCGTATTGGAAAGTCTCCGATGTGCAGGAGTTCGGACCCCATTCACCTCTTCATTAATGTCACCATCAGACATGGGATCGTTAAAATATGCATAAGTCCCTTTTAACGACTGGAGCTCCTATAGGAAATTACGCCGTGAATTCATCAATAGGCGTTTCGGGCCAAAGGATGTAAAGATATTTTTGATTTTTGTTTAATGGTATAACAGAAGCAATGTACATAAGAAGGATAAGTATAGAAGGAAACGTTCACGACTCAATATAGAAGATATATTATTGAGCAATCATCAATAGCGATGAGCGCCCTGTTGTCAGAAATAGTGGTCCCAACAAGGACGACGATTTGAAGATGCGCAGTTCTGGAGAGAATGACCATATCTATCAGTTTTCCGAATTAGGATGAGGTCGGATCATTAATATAGCCAGAAATAAGAAATTGGTTTGAAGAAATTCGTAATTCAATTCACAAGTTTTAGTCACGGTACGCAGTTAGTATAGACATATGTATGTATGTACAATTTGCAGCAATAAAGACTGCTGTAACCCACATTGCTATGTACATACTAACATACATAATGGGGTGGAGACCTATCTGCAAAATTGTTGATGTCAGAATTTCGCCCGTTGTGGGTGCTGAAAAGGACGGGCCAAGCTTTGACAAACTGGATTAAGTGTGATTTCACATGAGTCTTCGCAAAAAATTTGGTGACTAGTTCTTATAGTCTCTTAGTACTAACTAGCCGACAAACAAGACGGAAATTAATGCTGATCAAGAAAAAATATGCTTTCTAGGGTCGGAAACTGTTCCTTTTGTGCATTACATATGTACATCCACTTTCGACGACAAATAGATGAAATATTAAAAATACGACAAGAATCATAATGTTAGGGATGTTTAGGGATAAAAGTGTGAGGCTTTTGAACGCGACTCTCAACGTTACGCCTCGGTTTTAGATACACTGTATCTAATAGATACACGCGACTTTGGGTGCGTCTCACAATTTTCCTCTTCGTTTTACTGGTCTCTTTTTTCATCTTACAAAATGATAGGTACATTTAGTTATGTTTTGATTTCATTCAAGGTATATGCCCGGCTGAGTGGAACCGACCCAGAAAACGATTGTGTGTAATTTTGATTACTGAAAACACGGATGAACACAATGTGGCAAGGGGTGCAATGAGAGAAATTGCTTCACACAGTAGATACAGTGCGGAGAGAGTTCGATTTGCATACATGTTTAAGGTAACGTATTTTACTATAATCGCCATTAATTTCATCTCAGTAAATATTTAAATTATCCTTCATCCATCAGTACAATGATACAATAAATGCAGTTTTCAAGAGTTCTTCTCAAGTCGTAATATTTTTTATTTCCACTTTAAATAATATTAATTTTTCATAATTCAGTGATCTGATAGATATGGTCATTCCCTACGCAATGGAGTTTTTAGTTTTCTTTTATCTTCAAAATTGTAGATTTGGGAGGTTTCCGCCCTTTTGCGGGGCTTTACATTGTAACAGTGTGAGCATACAGAAGTCTGAATCCAACATTTGGTCGCTCTAGCTTTTATGGTCTCTGAGATCCAGTCGCTCAACAAAACGGACGTACTTTATGGGGTCGGAAACGCTTCCTTCTGTAGGTTACATACAACCGTCATTCGCACAAATACAATTACTATTTACTCTTCGAGTACTGAGTATAACTAGGGGGAACGTCCACAGTCACGTCACTTCTTTTATACCCGGTACTCAGTCATGATGCAACAGATGTTGCGGATGTTACGAGAAAAAACGAGGAGTGACGTGTGAGACGCTTGTTACGCGTCACAACTTTTATACCCGGTCCTCAATAGTACGTCTGTACCTTAGTGGCTTTTTTCACATTTTACATTTACATTTTTTTTTCGACAAAGCACATCTACATCTACTTCTCACGACAACACGCTCTTTTAGCTCTTCCCCCTCCCCTAGAGCCACACACTGCACGAAACATAGGGTGGATGAGAGAATGTGAAAAAGCAAGAAAAGCTGCTGGACAGGGTGGGGTTAGCCACTGAAAACTAATTTCTTCATTGTGGCTGTAAGATCAGATCCAATCTGATCCCAGTTCGGTGATCTGATAGATATGGTCCTTCCCTACCGAATGGAATTTTTGGGGTTCACCCTTTGCGGGGGCGGAAGGGGTGGGGCGAAATTTTGAAATACACTTGTAACAGTGTGAGCATCCAGCCATCTGGATGCAAAATTTGGTGGCCCTAGCTCTTATAGTCTCTGAGATCCAGGCGCGCAATAAGACGGACGGACAGACATACATAGCGATATCGACTCGGCAATTGATGCTGATCAAGAATGTATACTTTATGGGGTCGGAAACGTCTGCTTCTGTTACATACATACATCCACTTTGTGCCCAAGTACAATATACCCTATTTAGTACCGAGTACCGGGTTTGAAAAATTATCATCCAACCATTTCTAAGCCCCACTTCTTGCATAAAAAGGTGGTCTGGATCGAAGTGGCAAAATCGTGTCGAGTAGTGTAATTAGTGAGAAATTATTTCTGAATTTAGCATACATAAGCTAATTAAGTAAGAAAACACTAATATAAGTTTACAACTTCCAGGAAAGGCAGCCAAATTTTATAAATGCCTTATCAAAAGGATCATTTGACAAAAACCGCCTACAAATTGTTATTATTTGGCGTCGGGATAATACACGCGTGAAATACGAATGGTTATTTGATGCTAAGCAAGATGCTACACTTGCTTCTACTGTTCCAGCTGAAAGCATAATGAATACAACAAAAGCTGGACTCACCCACAAAATTCAAAAGCTTTTAAAAGAATCTGAAGCGTTAAGCTACGAAGCTTTTGTTCAGGTAATGTATGTCATTACAAAATGTTCACATAAAATGAAATTGACCTTTTTCAGAAATTATTGGACGAGCATTCTCAAGGAATTTTTAGTAAATGGATAACGCACTTACTATATTTAGTTGACTATTTATCCGAAAATGTAGAAGACGAGCATATTTTTGCTGCATTTTCGCTATTAGGAACCATTGGATTTATGTTTGGTGTCGGTTATATATTGATGTACTTCGTTAGGGCTGAAGAGGAGCAGCTAAAGGCTCAGGGACATCTTACTGATGAGACAAGTAAGTGATAATTTACAAATATTCCATTCTCGATAATTATCAATATATTTAAATATTTATAAGTAGTGGGCTGTTCGAAATTTTCAGAACTCCGTGAAAGGAGCTATTATAACTAACAATTAACTTTTAATTTCACTACTAAACCAAACTTTGAATCATCGCTTCTCGACACTACTCGACAAAATCAAACTTTTTTTTTCTCAAGGAACCAAACCGACCTTTTCTGATAGATATCGGGAATTATATTTGTTACATGAACTATGTTTTTTTTTGTAGCAGAATTATTTTTTGGAGAATTTTAATTTTTTTATGTTTTGTAACGGGTTTTTCAGGGGTAGCTCTTTGTTTTTTCACATAACTTAAGTATCTTAGATCTGGATGTAAAGAACTTTGTTTATCTGAAAAGCTGATTGATGTCACTAAAAAGTGAAACAAAACACTTTGTGGCTTTAGCGTACCGTCTCGAAAGTAATAAGCTTGGAAATGCAAACATTTGTGTGGTGTTCTTTTTACGAAATTTTAACTTTAAAAACTCGGGAAAGATCCCGTCCCTCCATAGATTTTGATAAGCAATGAACACAATATATACAAAAAGTTAAAAAAAAAAAATACCAGATTTAAAAAATTCTTAAAAAAAAAGTTTTACATTTTAAAGGTAAACTATTGACCTATTGACCAACTGTAAGCTAACACCACAAAGTGTTTGAGTATACGTTGTAGATGCATTCATAAGCTTTATAGAATGACTAAGCTCATTACAACCAAATTAAAGATACTTAAGTTATGTGAAATAAAGAAGCGCTACCTCAAAAAAACGTTTACAAACAAAACCAGACTTTAAGACTTCTTTAAAAAAAGTTCTGTCATAGAAAAAAACATAGTTCTTTAAAAACATTAAAAGCCCGAAGTTTATCAAAACAAGTCGGTTTAGTTCGAAATGGAAAAAATTGTTTGATTTTTTCGAGTTGTGTTAGTATTATTGCATATGTTCACAACGCCCGGTATGCGTTTTTATTTTCAAAATAATATAATTTATTATTTATTTATATTTATAAAAACGTACGTACATATAATTATTCACTAAACATTAGTTTTAAAGCTGAGTACCTTTTAATGCTATGCGTACAACTACAAGAATTACAAAATTTGAGAAACACGGGTAATCGCGACAAGGTAATCTAATTGTAGAACATATTTCTCATTAACTTCACTTTTTAATATTTTTGAATAATCTACTACATATACAATACTATTTTTTGTGTTCTAGTCCGAAAACCAAATAACATAACTCCGGAACTAAAGCTGTATGAACTAAGAGCAGAAAAGTATAACGGAATGGTTCGTCTACTTAAGCCTGGATGCCGAACGTTATTGCTAATAACAGATGTTCAAAGTCGGACAAAGCTTCTACCACATTTTCATAAAGCTGTATGGCCATATCGGAAAACGAAAACTTTACTATTTGGGCATATGCTTATTGAAAAAGGATTGTCTTGGTATACAGAACTTCTTCGTTTATCATTGTGTTCTACTGAAAAGTTGCAAGTAAATCCAAGAAATTGTGTTGGAACTGTAATAGCTTTGAATGGACACCGCAAATATTTTTGTATGTATCACGCCAAGCATCCTGAGTCGGTTCGTGGAACAAAGGTATTTTTTAGCTCTAAGGATGGGTTTACTATCTATATTTTTTTAAAACGGGAACGCGCCCTAATCCCTTATTCGCAAAGACCAACATTTTCCCGATTCTTAATATAAACAATTTCCTCGACGAAATTGAAAGTAAATTACTTTTTATGCAACAAAGCGAATGTTTATTGAGAAAGGATAAAAATAGATTTACAGACACCATGACCAATTTTTCTGGTGCCTTTTCATACCCAGTACTCGAAGAGTTAAAGGGGTATATTAGATTTGAAGTAATAAACAAAAATTCAACATTTTCGACTGTATAATGGATATACATATGTATATTTTTGATTAGCATCAACGAAAATTTGACTTTAACAACTCAGGAAAACTCAGTTTTTAAAACCTCATAAAAAAGTGCCCCAAATCTATAAGAAAAAGTCTGTTTGGTTCCTTGGAGGAAAAAAAAATTGATTTTGTCGAATAAGTGTTATCGGGTATTAAAGTAGTGACGCTGTCGTTAAGAGGAAGGAACGTTAAGCAACGTTAAGAAATCATCCGCTCATCAAGATGGATGGACAGGCAGGCATGACTATATCGACTCGGCTATTCGAATAGCCGTTAGAAAACTTTTTGTCTTTTGTTTCCGGTCAGCAATAAATTTAATTTTGTCATTATATAATTATTTTAACACATTAAATACACCTATAAGAATTTAAGACATATTTTCCCCGGGAGATCTTTTTAAATTCATTGACTTTATTCCCAAAACCATATCCGCGAATTTTCTGTTTTTATACCCGGTACTCGAAGAGTAAATAGGGTGCATTGTATTTGTGCGCTAATGAAACGTTTCCGACCCTATAAAGTATATATGTCTTTATCAGCATCAATAGCCGAGTCGATTGAGCCATGTCTGTCTGTCCGTCCGTCTGCCCGTCTGCACGCCACCAAATATTGCATCCAGACTTGTGTATGCTCACAATGTTACAAGTGTATTTAGTAAATGATCACCAAATTGGGATCCGATTGGATCATTATTATAGCCAGAATGAAGAAATTAATTTGCAGTGGCTAAACCCACCCCGTTCCGCAGCTTATATATGTTTTTTTTGCACATTATCTCGTTCACACTCTGCTTCTGCAGTGTGCCGCCGCTGCCTCTGCCGCGTCTCTGCCTCTGCAGTGTGTAGGAAAGGGGGCGAGCTAAGGGAGCGTGTTGGCCGATTGTAGCTGATGATCCACAGCTACGTGTTTCTTTTGACCACTTTCTTGCATCGCTTTCTTGTAAATCTACGTGTTTACCTTATGGTTATAGAAAGCTTTACCATTTTAAAAGACCACAGTCTATCAGAAACGTGGTTTTGATCACTGAGTTTTATTGGCTGTTGAATAAGGCTAAAACCCTTAAAGACTTTGAGTTAAAAGAAAAAAAACTAGTAATTTGTTTGCTTATTATGCTTATGAACCCTGATTCAAAAACTAATATTGTCTTTTCTCGCTTATTTCAGAGATTGCTAAAAATTACCAAGCAGCTGCTTAACTTGAATGACGATCCGGAAGTCGGAACATTTCTAGGATCAAGCTTTTCTGAAGAATCAGATGCAGAAATAAATATTCTTCTTGAAGATAATTTACTTGACAGCCTTGAAAATTGGCTTGAACGGTTGTTTGATGGTACAACACACAAGTATTATGTAAATTACTGGCCAGATTTTCCTACTAAATAATTAAATGTTTATTTGTAAAGCCCGAATATTAAAACAAACTTTTTCAATGATTAATAATTATTTTCGTGCGAGTTAATAACTTTTTTAGACGAATCTGTGAGTGAGCTCGAGAGTTTCAGATGAAATGTTCCAGGGACTCGATGGCCCCAGATTTTTCCTTCCATCTTGGAGTCGACTGTTTAGATGTAGAGTTGTTCGATCTAGTCCCGATCCTATTTCGTCGCTGGGTCTGAGGCTGTTTAGACAAAAAGGCAAATTTGGAGATCACCCCTTACATATGTATATACTAATCCTGTTTCGGCTAATTGATCTGTGCTCGAATCCTTGCACCAACATGACAATGGCTCTACAACTGACATGACCTGCTCCCGCCTAGCGACCCGCAGATTGGATTGCTCCTCCCCGTGCCCACCCGCTAAAGATAGGCCACGAAGCGAGAGCCAAGTGGCTCCCAGATATCGGGAAGGTCTTCAATTCGTCGCGACCACGAATTGAGAATGCAACGCTTTGAAAAGAAAAGTGCGAATAGCGCGGAGTGGCTCGTACATTTCAAAACACTCTGGGAACGGGACTCAACTCCAGAACACGTGTGACGTCACTTCCGACAAGAAAATCTTTTAGTAGTAGCTCATAGAGACAATACCTCTGGTTCAAAAAGAAGGCTACGTTTAAGCTTCCTCCGGGATTTTCCTTCAGGTCTGCGATGGCGCGGAGGTTTGGACGCACACATGCAGACACACTTCGAGGGGATTATTGATGCGGATCCGTCTGAGTCAGCGAGGCTGATTGGTTCATTCCAACAAATATATATGCACTAAGAAGTGCACGGGCTAGCTTTAATTACTGGAATCTTTCTTGGTACCGTAGGTCTATCTGTTCTTACAGCGTTTTCACATTCTCGCGTCAAAGGTGTAGTCTCGTATTTTCTAAGGCAATGTGTCTGACATAGCTCACGCTCAGTCCACGCAATTGATTGGCGGTAGATCTTGATCAAATCGCTTGACTGATCTACCAGTCGGTAGATCCAGCGGGTTGGGGGTTATTTTCTATTACAGCTAACAAACACAGAGACGGACAAAGTTCCGTCACAACTGTAGTGCCTTAAAACTGAGATAAATGTACTCATTGTAGAGGAGGAACGTTGTGACTCGAGTTCAACGGCGTCACTCCTTTCATACCCGGTATTAGTCAGTACGATTATATATTTACCTTCATACATAACGGGACTGAATAGCTGACTTTTGAAAGCAGCGTCCCCCGAGTAGACGTCCATATAAAGTAGCGTAGTATTCCTCAGTATTCCTGATTTATATACCCGGTATATACTCAATATTTTTGTATACCCGGTACTCAAGGAGTAAATTGGGTACATATATTGAATTTGTGGTGGAAAAATGTAACACATAGAAGGAAACGTTTCCGACCCGATAAAGTTTATATATAATTGATCAACATCAATAGCCGATATAGCCATGCCTGTCTGTCCGTCCGTCTTGTTTGATGCCTCGTTCTCAGAGACCATTGACTAGTTTCTAGCGAAGTCATGGTCCATCGTCTTCCCGATCTCAAATCGAGGGAACTGAATGCCATGAATAGAGGTTCCTGGTAAACATAAAACGCTAGGATGTGATCCCCACGAAAAATATAAGCCACATGGACCTTCGGGCAAACTATGGAGCGGAAGACTGCCACACAACAACTAACTCACTCCAGGCTGAGAGGCAGAGATGCCGTCGCTGATACGTCGACCATAGACAGACCACAGACAGACAGATCACAAGAAGGAAGATAGCCTTCTCCTCTCGCCAGAACCAGGCACTAGCTCCCTACGTAGGGAAGGTCCGAATCGTTCCAGGAAGGGAATGAAGGCTCAAGCGCAATACAAGACGGCCCTCAAAATACAGAGCCGGCTCCGAGGCAAGGCGGACCAACCCCTTCGACGGTGCTGGGGGGCTCAATGGCGTCAAAATCCTCAAGTACAAAGACGACCCAACTCTAACGGCTGACGCGCACGGTTTGCCAACTGGAGGCGTCGGGGGAGGGGCCCAAACTGGAGGTACTCTTCGCCATCCCAATCCAAGGGAACCGGGCGTTGAAGCTACTTCAACGTCAGACCCTAGAGGTTCCAACGACTGACTGGAAGGATCTGCACATTGGGAGCCCACGACCCAAGGAGGGGGTCATTGTAGGAGGACCGTCATTGGAGGACCTCCTATACTCGAGGTTCGGGAAGATGGCGTGGTGTATTGTCAGCGTATTATTGTTCCTCAAAAACCTCCACTCCAACGATAAAGACGCACACACCCTGCAGGTAGGCGAGGTGGAGAAGGACCTAGGTCTGGACACCATCGTGGAGGCAGCCCAGTGTCTGGCGATGAACGTCTCTTTAGAGGACGGAGATCTGACTAAAGTGGTCAACCCGTCCGGTGTAGTGACCATGAAAAATAGTGTGTTGCAGCTCAATCTACATAAAAGCAAGTCAATGTCGTCGGAGCTCCTTTTTGGCATGGAGCAAGGACCCGCAGAGTTAACTTTAGTCCAAGAGCCCTGGATAGCAACCGGAAATTCAGTGGCAAAACTAAAGACCCCCAACTATTACGTTTTCTACTCAACACCGGTAAGCAGGAAAATAACCGTACAAAAGGGAATCCACGCTTAACTTATGTCTCATAACATAGAGCGAGGAGAAGCGCCTCATGGTAGGTTCCTGCTACATGGCACACCTGTCGCCCGCACCAGAGAAGAACTTAGGAGCCTGGTGGCAGAAGCCGGTTCCAACAATCATCAACTTCTCATTGGTACGGAGGCCAATGGCCACTACAGTGTGTGGGGAAGCCCCGACATCAATGACAGAGGTCAGTAATATATATATTTACAACTAGTCTTGATGTAGCGAACGTGTTGGAGGAGCACACCTTCGCAGCTCCCAGCTCGTCAAACGTGCTAGACCTAGACCTAGCACTTGTAGCGGAAAAAGCGACTTCCTTGCACCGCAAGGAAAAAAGTACCCTGGTATCTGAAGGAAGAGTCTTGGACAGACTATCCTTCGCAGACCATAAGTGTATTCAGTTCAAGTGCCAATTCAAAATATAGAGCCCTCGGAATACTAGCTGAGAAAAGTTTAAAAATACGGTTACGGCAGAGACCCTATCCAAGTAACTAATGGGTGCCTAATGAATCATACCCAGCCTCGAGAACAAAGGGAAGCACCAAGCCACTCTGGTGGAACCGGGACCTCTCTCTGCAAAGGAATAACCTCAAGGAATTCTTCAAGCTCGCCAAACATGCGACCGATGGGATTATTGACGATGAATACAAACCCCTACGCAGGAAATACAAGAAGGAAATACGTAAGGCCCAACGTAACTCGTAGAGGAACTTGTGCTTAAAATTCGAGAAGCTGCTTTCAAGGTAACCACCCATACTATACATCAGGACCTAGCAACTGAGATACAACAACCCCCCATGGATCTTATTACCTCTAGGAGAATACATTGATTTATTCACTGCAATAAAAGCGCCTGGACTGGTCGGAATATTCCCAGCCATGCTTCGATCACCACATGGTTCTTTGCAATATACACCGCATATCTAAACACAGGTTATATCCCTATACAATGGAGAACCTCCCGAGCTGTCTTCCTCCCAAAAGCAGGAAAGTGCTGCCATATGAACCCAAAGGATACAGACCGATACGCCTTACCTCTTTTCTATACTACACTGGAAAGTCTGCTGGATATACACACCAGGAACTCAGGACATCAGGACTCTGTGTCCAGTATAAGGAAATTTCATTTTACTCTCGCGCTTGCAATCTGATCTCAATAGCTTTCAGTCATGGTGCTGTGCAAATATGTTACAACTTAATGCCTCGAAGTGCAATTTAATGACTTTTTATCGCTCCAGCCCCTTCCTGGCTCCTTACACCCTCTGCGGTAGCTCTTTTGAGAGAATTACATTGGCTGATGATCTAGGTGTTAAACTAGATCCCAAGTTAAAGTTTTCTGAACACATTTCTACCATGGTAAATAAAGGCATGGGTGTGCTTGGATTTATAAAGAGGTGGTAAAAGGAACCTATGACCCCTATATAACGAAGACTCTCTATATTTCGCTTGTTCGTCCGATTTTAGAATACGGCTCATGTGTATGGTGCCCTCAGTACAACATACACCAGGACCGTATTGAATCAATACAGAAAAACTTTTTATTATTTGCCCTACGGCGCCTCAACTGGGATGCAACTGTGAGACTGCCATCCTACCGTAGTAGACTTCTTTTAATAACTCTTCCATCCTTAGTTAGTCGTAGGAAAATGCTTGGTGTAATTTTTATGCACAACTTGATCAAGGGGGATGTATACAGCCCTGACTTGTTGAGCCGCGTAAACTTTACGATTCCCATTAGACCCACTAGAAACTATATTCCTTTATTCCTTCCACTGTGCAGATCGAATTATGCCTTGCACGAACCCTTTAGGGTCTTATGCTCGGATTATAATTCACTCTATCACATTATATAATCGACTAACTCCCTTCCTCTTCTTAAATCTCTTATACTAGCCTACCTCTCCCGTAGTTAGTTTCATTTAAGTTTTGTCTTGTTTCTGATTTTGGTAATTTTTGCTTGCTTAGCTATATATAGCTAATATATTAGCTATTAATTTTTCGTTTTTTAAGTCAAAGTTTTGTAAAAAATACCGCACTAAAATCAACATTTCTGCCTTTCAAAGCTTAATATTTTTCAAACGGTAAGCTAGTGTTTGGGTATACACTAGAGATGCATTCATCAGCTTTATAAGATGGCTAAGTTCACCACAACCAGATGTAAGATACTTAAGTTATGTGAAAAAATAAGTGCTAACAGACCTTACAAATTATTAAAAAAAAAAATTATGACAAAGAAGAAAAACTTTAATTCTTAAAAAAGTGTTAAAGCCCTCAGTCTATAAAAAAACGTCGGTTTGGTTCGAAGCGGAAAAAATAGTTCGATTTTGTCGAGTAGTGTTAGATGCCCCCTCTAAACAT